CATAAACTAGTTTACATATTCCAGGAAATAGTTTGGCCCCTCCTCGGGTCTGCCTTTTCAGAGCATGTGCATTCCTCAGTTGGGGTCTTGGCTCCTTCTCTTTATCACGTCCAGTTTGGGCCTGGCCCACACTGCCTTCAGACGGCGAGTGCTGGTAGTTGGCAGATCTGTACAGATGTCCCCGTCCTGTGTTCATTGGATCTTATCCCACCCCAGCAGGGATTTTAACACAAGCACACTGATATCAGCTATTTCACTATTATGTCTAAGCTTAATTAACAGTAGAAATAAAAACCATATCTTTATTACAAAGTTACTTTAACCCTACACATTTTAATATTTTAAAAAGCCAGTATTATAACATGTACCTATAACAGTGGGAGTTTGCAGAGCCCCCCTCCCGGGGGTTCCACCACACCCCCACTCTTCCCCCGGGAAGGAACCAGACGGACACACAGCGAGGACCGGCAGCTTTATTGATGCCCAGAGCCTCGCTGGCCACAGATCCTCCAGCCCAGGCACGGCCCCTGCCCTGCTCAGGGCGCCTTGGCCTTCCTCCGCTGGGTGCCCCACAGCAGCAGGGACAGGGACACGGTGGCAGTGCCCAGGATTCCTCCGAAGAGAAGCACGGGGAACGCGCCCTGCCCGGGACCAGGAGTGAGCATCACGGCTCCCTGCAGCTCCTGCTGCTCCAGCCAGGGCCCGGCCCCAGCCAGGGCCGTCCCACAGGCTCTCACCTCACGCAGGCACTTGTAGCCGTGGAAGGGACTGTCACAGAGGCACTGGATGAGGCCGGGGCCGTCGGGGGCACACACAGAATTCTCAGGACACGGCCAGGCTGGCAGGGCAGAGCAGAGCAGGGGGTCAGGGGCCAAGCCAGACCCCACTGCCGGCCCCACACAGCCAGTCCCCCGCCGTACCGAGCGGCACAGAGCCGTTGCAGGGGTTCCTCTGTCCCTGGCACAGCCGGCTGCTCCTGTCCACCGCCACGTCCTGCCAGGCGTCACTCCCGCCCGGACACTGCAGCGCCGCTGGCACCGCGCTGGGGACACGGCTCAGCACGGGCACCGCGCCGCCCCCAGCCCCGGCCCCCCGGCACTCACAGGCTCTGCAGCTGCACGAAGCCCACCAGGGAGTCACTGGGCAGAGCTGCCAGCGGGTTCTCAGTCAGGTCCCTGTGAGCACACGGACCCTCAGTGCCGTGTGGCACCCCCGGCCTGGCGGGCACCGGGGACCCCCGGCACCTCGCTCAGCTCCCGTGCCCCCGCCGCCCCCTGCCCACCCGAGGCCCTGGCAGTGCAGCCCTGCAGCCAGGGCTCAAAGGTCTCTGCAGAGCTGCTGAGGGACAGCTTGGTCATTAACGAAA